AATAAAATTTCAAACCTAGCCAACTGGCTGTTATATTTTTAGAAGACTTTGAGGACACCCCATGTGGTCCTTGCAGCGCCCCTTGGGTCACGTTGGTGACCCCCGCTATATGGGGTTAGTTGAGTTCAGCTCACATGAGGTTAGTTGTGAAACTTTGGCGTCATATGTCGCCATACCTGGTTGCAACTTGTTTGTTCACGCCTGGTGGCGACTTGTGTCGCTACACCTATACGAGACTGGCGTCGCAACACCTGGTGACGAATGGTGTTGCCATAGTTTTTGGTGATTATCGTCATCGGGATTACTTCAAGACAAAGGCATGTGCCGTCCAAAAGTTTTTCAAGCAATTTTAGGTCTTTAAACACACTGTATCCCTATTGTCCAGTTAATATATGCCTTATTACTACAAAAAGGAAGGCTTTCATTTTTAAATATTCAGTATAGTTTTTTGTTTTCTAAACTGGTCAAGTTTGGGTCATAAAGTTGAGCCATGTGCTGCAGGTCTTATCTGTGTATAATTTAGAGAAACCTAGTTACTTAAAAAAACAATGAAAGTGGAGTAGTAAATTAATTTGTTTTAGTAAATTTTGTCATCTCTTACCACTATGACAATAGCTACACAAAATATTGTGAGCAAATTTGTAGTCAATATCATTAACATCTACTTGACAGCTTTTAATAATCAAAAAACATTGGTGGTCTATATGTTAGGAACTTGAGCTTTTGTTTTAAAGCATATTAAATGTTGTGTTACATTTTCCTCAGGGCTGTACCTTTGGGAACATATTTTAGAAGGACCCCTTAACCCAACTGACAAAGTAGCACAGTGGAGGGAAGGAGAGCTTCAGTTAGGAAAAGTCGATTTCAGGTAAAGCCCAGTGAAGAGATATTTAGACGTCAGTCCTCTTAAAACTCAACTTCATATCATGACCACTGAAAGAACAAACAAATAAGAATGACCTCATTCCTTCTTCTGTGGTCAGTTTTTACACCGGCCCAGCAGTGGTTCAGGGACACGTTCCTCTGGAAATGAACAGCCTGGTTTTGGTTCTCAACGGCCGAGAACAGCAGAAGGTGTCTTACTCCATGAGGTGGCTGGAGCATGTTCAAGCTTTGGTTCAGTCCAACACGGTATCGCATGTGGCGGTGGTGCTGCTGGGCAACGAACAATGCAACAACGACTGGATCGCCCCGCATTTGAAGAGAAACGGCGGCTTTGTAGATCTCTTGTTCCTGGTCTACGACAGCCCGTGGGTCAACGACAAGGATGTGTTCCAGTGGCCTCTGGGTGTTGCAACGTATGCCTTTTTTTTATCATTCCTATAGACGGTTGCATATGCAGACCTTTTTTAGCATACTGAGTTGCATTAATATGTCTTATCTAACAGAAAACAGTTGTGTACAACTCCTGACTTGTGATAATTTTGTCTCTTATCAGATACAGAGAGTTTCCTATGATCAGAGCCAATGCACAGCTGATAACCTCCAACCGGCCATACCTCTGTAACTTCCTGGGTACTGTTTACAAAAATTCCTCCAGGGAAGTCCTGATGAATGTGCTGAAACAGTCTGGCCTAGATAAGGAATGCCTCACAGCTGCCAGGGAAAAGTAAGTCTTTTCTTACTATTTTATTGGTAAAAAAAAAAAGAAAACAGAGCATTCTTATTTTCCTTACTTGTACAATATTTTTTCTTCTAGTTGTTTATATAATGGTTTAGAATAAATATAAAATCTGTTCCTGGTTGACAGAGACCAGAAGTTAAGGAGCAATGTGGAAAATATAAAGGGAAAACAACAATCTGAAAACAGCTGAAACACATTAGTTTTAATCAGAGAAAGCTAAACATGTATGGGTTTGAGTGGGAAAATGCTTATTTTAAATCAAATGAGGTTATGACTTTGACTGTTTAAAAAAAAAAAAAGAAAAGAAAAACATTTGCTTTGATTACAAAAGAAAAACAAAAAACATAGTGAAGACTGCTTTCTCTTTCAGAACTTACAAGCAGTTATTTCATTCACAATCTCCTTTTCTGCCTCCCCCTTCCCTTCATAATTAATGACATGTTAGAAGATGTAATGTGTGGTTTTGCACACTTAATTTTAAATTTGAATTATTGTTGAACCTTGTAAAGAGCAACATATTCATAAGTTAAA